ACCCACTGAAACAGTTGAGCTTTGCCTCCTGCCGGTTCAATGCCAGTTTCATAATCCGTTCCCTCCTGTTATCACCCACCTCTGCCTATTTTACCGCCAAATTTGAAATTTACATCGGGTATCAATGGACCTTGATTTACAATGTTGTGCTCGAATCCTCAGCTCTTTCAAGGCCCACCACCACATCCTACAAGGGAGACAATTGCACCTCCTTTTCCTCAAAAGGGGTCTCCTCAATGCTGCTGTAAACATGACGAATCGCCTTCTCCAAATGTATACGAGGTGCGGCCAGATATCCGATGCTCGGAAACTGTTTGATGAAATGGGTGAGAGAAATAGTTTCTCTTGGAACACTTTACTAGAGGGATATGTGAAACATGGAAGAGTAAAGGACTCGTTGGACTTGTTTAACTTGATGCCAGATAAAAATGACTTCTCTTGGAATTTAATGATTCCAGGCCTTGTAAAAGCCAGGGAGTTAGATGTTGCGTGTGGACTGCTTAATGTGATGCCGAGGAAAAATGGGATAGTTTTGAATTCTTTGATGCATGGTTATGTAAGAAATGGGTGCCCATATAGTGCTTTAATGTTGTTTAGAGATTGCTTGAAACTGGAACTTGGTGAAGGTGTATGTCGGGATAATTTTGTTTTGGCAACAGCTATTAGTGCTTGTGCAGATTTGGGAAGTTTGGATTATGGGAAACAGATTCACACCCATATTATTGTCAGTTTTGTGGAACGTGATTCGGTATTGGGGAGTTCACTTGTTAATATGTATGCAAAGTGTGGTCAGTTGGACACTGCAAGCCAGTTGCTGCATAAAATGCAACATGTAGATGACTTCTCTCTTTCTGCACTTATATCAGGATATGCGAATTGTGGCAGGATAGATGATGCGAGAAAAATCTTTGAACTTAAAACTGATCCATGCATTGTACTATGGAACTCTTTAATTGCAGGGTATATTACCAATGATGAAGAAACAGAAGCAATTTCGTTATTCTTAGAGATGCGGAAGGAAGGAGTTTCAGGAGATTTTTCTACTTTTACCAGTATTTTGAGTGCCTGCAGTAGTACTGGAATTGTTAAATATTGTCAACAATTGCATTCTGACGTATGTAAGTTGGGGTTCATTGATGATCTAATAGTTGCCAGTGCTCTTGTTGACACGTATTCCAAGTGTCAAAGCCCACATGATGCTTGTGCTTTATATGATGAACTCAAAGTGCATGACACAGTCTTGCTGAATTCTATGATTACTATCTATTCTAATTGTGGGAGAATTGAAGATGCAAAAAGGATTTTTCTGACCATGCCTGATAAAAGCTTAATCTCATGGAACTCCATTATAGTAGGTCTAAGTCAAAATGGTTGTCCAATTGAAGCTTTAAATCTCTTTAGCAAGATGAATAGGATCAATTTAAGTATGGACAAATTTAGCCTTGCTAGTGTCATTAGTGCTTGTGCCAGCATTTCATCTGTAGAATTTGGTGAACAGGTGTTTGCTAGAGCTACTATTGTTGGCCTTGATCTTAATCAAACTGTTTCATCCTCCCTTATTGATTTTTACTGCAAGTGTGGTTTTGTTGAAAGTGGTCAAAAAATCTTTGACCAAACCAAAAAAGATGATGTAGTTTTGTGGAATTCTCTGTTGATGGGTTATGCGACAAATGGTTATGCAATTCAAACTCTGAATGTATTTTATCAGATGACATCTGCTGATATGGTACCAACATATATCACATTTATAGGAGTATTATCTGCTTGTAATCATTGTGGATTGGCAGAGGAGGCACAGAAATGGTTTGATGCAATGAAGGATACCTACCACATAGATCCTGGAATAGAACACTACTCCTGCATGATAGATCTTTTTGCACGGTCAGGTTGCCTTGAAGAAGCTGTAAGTATCATTGAAGAGATGCCATTTAAGGCAGATGCAAGCATGTGGTCATCAATTCTTAGAGGATGTTTGGCTCATGAGGATAGATCTCTGGGGAAAAAAGTAGTTGACCTAGTTATGGTGCTTGATCCTGAAAACTCAGTTGGATTTGTGCAGCTATCAAATATATTTGCCACATCTGATGACTGGGAAAGGTCTGCCCTTGTCAGAAAGCTAATGAAAGATAACAAAATCCAAAAGAATCCTGGCCTAAGTTGGGGTGGTACTTAGTGGGAAATACCATATGCCACTGCATTTTGAGGTAAGGTACTTCATCTTTGTTGAAACCACGAGAGGGTGATCTAAATGAACAACTATCAGCCAAACGAAAAGAAACAGAAAATTTATCTTTAGAGTTTTATCTTAAAAAGAGGAAAGTATAGCATTAATCAATCAAACCACAGATTCTATTTGACTACAACCTGCTGTTCATAGAACCATATCCTTTCTTTGTTCTATGTCTCTCTGTATGTTGCCAACTACAAAGCTTGCTGCATTTTATTATAGACTTATTATTCTCAGTGGTATCCATCTATATTTTGTCAAACTGATATCTTGCGTTGTGCAGAAAACACTTGGGCTAATATTAATGTTTTGAGATTGTTTGGAGTTGCAAAGCTTTAGCATTCTGAGCCTAGGTCTGCCCCTTCTATGTAGTTTCCAGTCCCCATAAAACTGCTGTTTTATCTCAGTAATAGTAATATGCTTGCTAACCCTTCATATTCTTCTGGATGCTGTAGGAGGCTGAATGTGAAACTAACTCCTTCTGGCCTAAGATGATGCCAAAATACATATGGATGTGCCAAACACAACAGGTCAGGTATAACGTAGTCTACTTTTGGTCTATAGTAGTTTTCTGCTTACAGTAACAGATTTAATTTCCACATGATGGCCAGAATGATGTTTTCCAACAAATAAGTTAATAGACAGACAAAACTGCATAGTAAATCTAACATTTTGTTGTAGAAGGTCATTGTTGGAGTTACAATTTGCTTTCACCTGGTTGTCTCAAGTAAATATAACTGTAGTTGGGAATGCTGTTTGAAATGTAACATATGGGGATACCCATTTGGAAGCTTCCCATCTTATTTTGATGCATCTTTATATTATCGCAGTCAGAAGTTTTTTTCCTAATTTTTTGCATTTTCTTAACTTGATCTTTGTTTTCTTTGATTAGCTTTGCAGTTGATTGCCTCTTGCAGTTCCGGGCTCCGTTTACTCCGCCTTCTTTCTGCCAGATAGCATAATCAATCTTACTCTGTGAAATCTCTCTTTATTTCCCCTCCCTCTCTCTACCTGTCTGTTCCGACTGGTTTATGATAGCTTTCTCTTCTTTGTATCCTTGCCTGTCTCCACTTTCTTATGGAAGTTTCTTTGATTATTTCCTCCAAATTCCAACAGAGATTAACGCTGAGTATGATCAAGTGACTATGATGCGTATGCTTCTTCAGATTCTGTTTCCTTTTTTCACTCGTAGTGCCTGATGGAACTTGCATCTGTTGTGAAAGCATCAGTGTGTGATCAAAAGGTGATTGTTTCTTTCTTTTCAGGCATGTGATCAAATCAGTGTGTTGATAAAAAGGTGATTGTTTCTTTCTTTTCAGGCATGTGAACTTTGATCTACTCTGCAGTGAGGAGCAGGAAGATACACCTAGGTCGTGAACTATCCAAATTATCTAAACGCAGCTGTATGTCCTGGAATCCCCCTATTTTGCAGTTTCAGTTTCCATTATCTTCTATTTTAGGTTGCGGGCAAGAAAGAATACACGTAGAAATGATGTGTTATCCTAATTAGGTTGTCCTAATGATTGAGTGCTTTTACTCATCAAAATCTTTTGACACCTAAGGCATTTCCTGGCCAGGTTTATGGTTCCTCCCTCCTCTCACCTTCAGTTCACAAGATTTCTCAAAGGTCTGAATCTCATCAGAGATTAGGTGCAAGTGACAACACGCACAACGTTGGCATTAATCCAAATGCAGTGGCGGATCGGGCAATGAATCCATTTTGGGCATTTTCATTTCTTTATCTTTATCCACGCCCGAGTTAGGACCAAGACTGTCATTGCTACTAGCTTGGCAAAGGCAAGATAGTACGATACTGAGATGATCGATTGCAAACAATTTCCTTTCCATGCATTTGATTAATGCTAATGCTTGGGAAATTTCCAAGGCAGTTCTAGTCAGCAGATACCATAGAATATAGATACGAAATGTGGATAGGTTCTTTATTGTCATCACATTTCATCAAGCTATATGCTGAAGTAGGAGGTTTTTTCTTTAGGTAAAGAGTATGAATCTGAGAACAGTAGCTCTATGTGCAGCGGAATCTTGCTTAAAGATGTTGGCTTTTTGTGTCCCAACTATTTTGCTCCTTCAACTCCATTTCTTGAGACTCGTAATATATTGACTGCCCTCACAATGTCACCTCCTTTGATGAACGCAGCACCATTACTAGATATTCATGGAATCAGCTTTATATAAACAATCATTTGTTTAAACTTTAGAGATAAATATGTACTTATATGTGTCGTAAAGTTTCATGAAGAAGTTGGTGGCGGTGATTGTTAAGACTTGCACGAGATAATCAATGATTGAATTTTTAACTACTTGGTTGAAGTATGAAACGTATTATTACTACCTTAGATTTTTGGTAAATTAGCATACAAGTGCACGAATAAATATTATAAGAGTGCCTAGTATCTTTGAAATTCACTTGCCTTATTATACGATATTCTTTCGTTTGGATTAGCTGTTTTTGTGGATGTTTTTAAAATATTTTACTGTACCAATGTAGGTGAAAAATTTTTACTGTAGATAAAATTGTTTTTCGAAGTTATTTTTGGTATTTTTGATATTTTTGAGATTGTTTTTATTTGTATATTATTGTAATATTATACATAAAAAATGAAGACCTAACTTCAGGTTACATTTTGGAAAATTTACCCTTAACCAAAAAAGAAAAAAAAAAGGATCGGAACAGTAAATATATACTAAATAAAAACTTTTCCCTCCATCTCCATCATTTTTGTATTTGAATTAAGAATAAAAATACCAAACACGGAAAAAATACTCAACTAACAGTGAAATGGGATCAAAATGGTTTCAGAATTTCCTTTAGCTTTTCTTTCTTGATTGTAGTATTCTTTCCATCTTTTGGGGCAAAAGCCCAAAAATCCTTGATGCTTTGTCCCTTTTTTGCATGTACCTTTTGTTACAAAGGCTTTGTCGTCATAGATCAATCCACACATATTCACTTTCTTTTTACACTAAACTGATTGATCAGTGTTTAAGATGGAAAAGACCCAATTTTGCAAAATCCATTCATGCCCAGCTGATAAAGCTTGGTTTTAATGGCACTTTTCTGGGAAATCGTTGCGTTGATATGTATAGCAAAGTTGGCCTTTTTAATTATGCTTTGAAAGTGTTCGGTGATATAGCTGATAGGAATGTCTATTCTTGGAATATATGCTTGAAAACGTATGCACAACATGGTGATTTTGAGAAGGCGCGTTTAATATTTGATAAAATGCCTGAAAGGGATGTTGTGAGCTGGAATTCGATGATTTCAGGGTATGTGTCATGTGGGTTCTCAGAGCAAGCGTTGGAGTTGTTTCTTGATATGCAGAAAAATGGTGTTAGGCCGAGTGGGTTTACGTTTTCGATTTTGATCTCGTCTGTTGAATGTGTCTTTGCTGGTAAGCAAATACATTGCAGTATGTTGAGAAATGGTGTCGATTTTTCCAATGTGGTGGTTGGCAATTCTTTGATTGATATGTATGGGAAGGTTGGCGTTGTGGAATATGCTCTTAGTGTGTTTTGGAGTATGAAGGAGGTGGATGTCATATCCTGGAACTCATTGATCTCGGCTTGCTGTAAATCAGGTTATGAAGAATTAGCAATTGACGTGTTCTGTTGGATGAGATATCAAGGATATGCACCAGATGAGTTTACCGTGTCGAGAGTGATTTCAGCCTGTTCTGGCTCGCGGAATTTGGAAAAGGGTAAACCAATTTTATGTCTTTGTATAAAGATGGGGTTTTTCTCGAATACTATTCTTTCAAGTGCTGCTATTGACTATTTATCTAAATGCAACAGAATGGAGGACTCGGTGCATATATTTGAAGAATCTAGTATTTGGGATTCAGCTCTTTGCAATTCCATGATTTCAGCCTATTCACAGCATGGTGTAGAAGAGAAAGCATTTGGGATTTTTGTCGTTTCAATAAGGGAGAATATTAGGCCAACTGAGTTCACTCTTAGCTCTGTTCTCAATTGTGCTTCAGCCTTCTTAGCATTGGAGCAGGGAAGTCAAGTCCATTCTTTAGTGATCAAATCAGGGTTTGAATCAGATTCCATTGTTTCCAGTTCACTTGTAGCCATGTACTTTAGATTTGGATTAGTTGATGCTGCCTTGGGGATCTTTGCTACCATGGTTGTGAAAGATCTAATAGCTTGGAATACTGTAATAATGGGATTGGCTCATAATGGAAAATTTCTTGAATCTATTGGCCTTTTCAAGCAACTAAAATCTAGGGGACTAGAGCCGGACAAGATTACATTTTCTGGTGTTCTATTGGCATGCAGATTCGGTGGATTGCTTGAAGAAGGAATGGCTATATTTTCTTTAATGGAAAAGGATTATGGAATTGCACCCAGGGATGAACATTATGCTTGTGTTGTGGACTTGATGAGTCGAGCAGGTAAACTTAAAGAAGCAATAGCTATAATGGAAGTTATGCCCCATCCACCCAATGCTCTGATGTGGGAATCAATACTTTGTGCTTGTAGAATTTATGGAGATTTGAAACTTGTTGAAAAAGTTGCAGAGAGAATGATTGATTTGAAAATAGAGTCATTATTGTCTTGTTCAGTGTTGGCTCAAGTGTACGAGCACAATGGTAGATGGGAAAGCCTAGTTAGAGTAAGGAGGTTTATGAAGCAGAAATATGAAGTGTTTGATTCTAGTTGGGTTGGATTTGGAGGCAACGTATATGCTTTTGAAACAAACGAAACATTTCACCAAGGTGGTGAGGATATCTATTCATTGTTGAGATTATTGACCCTGGAGACGCAAGATCAAGTTTACCTATGATAGCGCTTTTTGGGGTGTAAATTGGAAGAGCAGGTTGTAAGTAGAACAGAAGCATGGAGCAACGTGCGTTTTTGCACCCTTGGAAAAATCACTGAGTACCCTTTGATTTCCCCTTTGACATCAAAATTTGTCGAGGAAGCTTTCAACAGAGGTATCCTTTTACCGAGAATCTATTAAGCATACACATATTTTGAAGTGGAGGAGTTGCTATTGCATTTGCTTATACTTTCAACGAACCTGGATGCATCTGCCTTTTAACTTGTGCTTTGAATGAGAACAGTCTCATATCTTATTCTTAGATATGGAACAAGACCAAAGAATGGTCAAAACAAGCAACTGAATTTTTCCCTATTAGCATGAAGACTGTCTCATATTCCTTAATTGTTCTTGAGTTGAAGAGACACCTCAACATATATTCATTTTGGGGCATTTCTGCTGCTATATCTTGGATGACAGTAAGTTCAATTGTTCTGATATTCTCAACAAGGATTCCTGTTTTGATGATTGAGAGGATCTAAGCCAGGAAACTTTCCTACTCATGTTCATCCTGCAAGGTCAGTGTTTCCACTGGCGATATGGAAGCTCCTTGGTAAGCCCTATGATTTCAGCAAAGCTACTCAACTACTTGTTAGATAATGGTTACTCAGTAGTTTCAGTCTTGACCGAATTAATGGTTTATAGTTGTATTAAACATGCCAGTGTAGATAATGTCAATCCTTTATGTTAAAAAAGATCTATGGTCATTGCTTATGCTATTCTTTTTTGTGTGCTAGGAACAGATATTTAAAATGCAATCAAAATTTTGCTCTATAATTATCAGAAATACTGATAGTTCTCCTCCAACTTCCACGGAGATCAGTGTTTTTGTTCTAACAAATAATAAGTTGAAAGTTGGAATCAGAAGAAAAGGTATGTTTCAACCAGCCTTATAATTCAGAAAAGAAAAACTGAATAGCCAGTTACAAGTAACCGAGAAGATAATGGCCACAATCATTAAATTAACTGAACTAAATATTTATTGATAAACAGAAATTAGCTGTTAAATCGGACTGAGTCAAGAAGTTGAAAGACTAGATTTGCTATTTGGCTTTTGGCTGAAAGGAATTTGATCCTTGTCCGTGAGAATGCATGAAGCATATGTTGGACAACAATTTCACCGCTGGGCAGATAAGTTCAATGATCCTATGAGGCCAAACGATGATAGTGACACGTAATACTTGGCCCCCCAGAAGATGAAGATGGATAAACTCTTCATCCCTATCTTCACCAGTGTAGGTAGAGAAAATGGACTTGTAAAGCCCCTGTTCCCTGAGGGATCGTTTGACTCATGAAATGACACGGGATTGGATTATTAATCCTATGTCATTCCATATTTGATATTTTATAGAAGGGATGATACATTCCACGAATTAATCCCCTGTACGGGGGATAAAATAATTTATCGAGGAAGGTTGTATGAATTATTTCGGGATGAGGAAGCATTCAGTATGATGACAATTTGGATTTATTTATTCCTACTAATAAAATAATGCTTTATTCTAACAATTGGATAAACTTACCTTCTAGCTATAATAATATTTAAATTTTGGAGTAATTAATAACATAATAAAGTTTTGGACAAATCTACCGATACTAATAAAAAATGAGTTTTGGACTAATTTGTCCATATCAATGATATACATTAACTTTGGACTAATTTGCCCATGCAATTAACAAAACTAATTTTTGTACTCTTTTGTCCATATTAATGGCATAACTAAAATTTTGGACAAATTTGCCCCTTCTAATTAAAAATTTATGTTTTGAATTAATTTGCCCATTTTAATGAAATAACTAAAATTTTGACTAATTTACCCCCATTATTGATAAAATTAATATTTTGATTAATTTGCCCCTACTAAATGCTTTGACGGATTTACCCCTACTAAAAACTGAGTTTGGGCTTACTAAAAGTCGATTAATATCCCTAATTGTAGGTCTATCAAAGAGGGTAATTTTAGTTTATAAATAAGTAATACCACCTCATCCTATCTCCAACTAAATGCAAGTTGACATTATTTTGTAAAACATCCAATCTGACATAAAACTAACCAAACACAGGAGTACTTATCCAGACATGACTCGATTCAGGATGAATAATTCGAGAATAAATAATCCCTTCTCATCCAATTTGTGAACCAAACGCACACTAAGGTGTTTAGGTTACCTTACGAATTTGTTGTCTATGTGAATTGAATCTTGACAAGGGTTTATTTTACGTATTTTTAGTGTGTTTTATTAGTTAATTTTGGTTTGATTATTTAGTTTTATAACTAAAATAACTAAGGTTTTGGTAAAAAACTACATTTTATGTTAAAGTGGCTAAACATTGCATTTTATGGATTTTTATGGTAAAAACTTCATATTTTGTAGGTTTAATGATTCAATCATCAAATGAAGTGCATTGAGAAGATATTTGGATGATTGAAAATGGATTAAAGTGGGGAAAATAAAATATGAAGTGTAAAAGGAAGAAATGCAATTTGAGGACAAAATCAAGAAAAGTCAGCTTTGACAACTTAGATACATTTTCGTATTTTGACTATATCAGGAGCTACAATGATCGGATCAAGGTGATCTTGGTACCATTTTGAAGCTAAGAGATATATCTACATTTGGTATGAAGACATCAAAGTCCAATTCAGCCGTTTTCTTGGTCAAAAGGTCGAAACACAGAAACTTATCTGGATGGTCGAAAGCTGAAGCCCAGAATTGACCAGTCTACGGTATTTTGACCATATCTCCGTCCACCGATCTCCAAATTAGATGATTCTTGAAGCATTGGAACTCTAATTCAAAGGGCTACACCTTTTGTGTTTTGCACAAAAGCCAGTTCGGCCTTCATCATGGAGAAAAATGCAGTTGAAGTGAGGTCAAAAGTAAAAACGTGTATGGCAGCCGAATTTCTGTAATTTGCTGAGCCATTTTTCTCATCTTCACACTACTTTCCAGCTAGAGTTGGAGAGAAAACGTAGGCTGCACATGCTTCAGAAGACATAAGGAAGAGATATAGCCAAGGTTCCAAGTCAAAAGCCATTATTTTTGACTCCCTTAACAAATTCAGATTTGGAGAATCATAGCAGAAATTTTTGACTGGTAAGGGAAGGACTTTTCATCAGCTTATATGCAGGCCAAAGGGGAATCATACGGGAGAAGCTTGAAGAGTGCAGAAATGTAGTTCTTCCATTTCCTTAGTGTAGGATAGTGTAGTAAGTGTAGTTCATCCATTCTTGTATAATGGCTAGATTAGGATGAAAATGGAGATGAAGAAAGAGAAGTTGAAGCTCAAGTGACATGGGTTATCTCTTCTCCAACTCTTTATCTTTTGTATTGGATTCTTAAATATAGTTAATATGCAAGTTCTAGAATTTATGTCTATTATGTGTCTCTAAAGTTTATGCCTTGGGTTTGGTTGAACTTTCTATGATTGTTAGTGTTTATCATTTGGCTATTTAACTGCTATGATTTGAGCAAGTTATTTAGCACTTTAGCTCTTTAAATCATGATTAATCTGGTACCATTAATTGTGATTATCTAAGGTGTTATTTCTGCAATGAAAATTGAGATTTAACATTAGTTCAAGAAGTGCTAAACATAGGGAGTACACTCACGAGAGTAGAGGTGCACCTATGTGGTTTTTAGTGATTCATTTCATGTAATTTCACTGAAGAAATGAACTTGTAGCTAATTTCATAACCATGAGAATAGGTATGGATTAGTTATAAGTATAATTGATTCACTACGAAAGTAGGATTCAAATGCATAAGGAAATTACACCATAATTAGCCTAGATGTAGTATTCAATGATCCAAATATAGCACTTGCATGAGTAGTTAGGGATACCACAACCTAAGGAGCTTTCATTTGTCATTTTGTATAATTTCAGTAGGTTAAATTTGTTATAATTTATTGATAGTCTAAATAATAGAGAAGCTTTAGTAATACCGGTAATTGTTCACTCTTCCTTGTGGGATCGACCCGATATATACCCTAAACTACTAGTTGATCTGTATACTTGCAGTGAACGGGTGTAATTCGGTATTTTTTAGCTTGCACGTATGTAAAATACCCGTCAAGTTTTTGGCGCCGTTGCCGGGGAAGATTTGGCAATATCGGTGTGAAAAACAACTTTATTAATTTAGACAATTTCACTTGTTTTTGTTGGTTAAGTGTCTTGTTTGTTTTGAGTCTTGTTGAGTCTTTTATGTTTAATGTCTTGTTTTTGTATGTTTAAAGTCATCTATTCTTCTTGACTAAACTTGTTTTTGAGCTACTTTGATAGCATGTTTAGGGGATCAAGGAGAGTAGAAAACAGGGGAGGACAATGCTTCAGAAATGGAAGATTGGCAATGGATGGTTATCAAGTGCAAAGCTCCTTCAACAGAGGTAACCAAGAATTTACTGAATGTATGTCTTTTGAAGATGGTTTAAGGTGCTTAAAGGTAAAATTTGATGTAATTAAGTTACAAGTTCAATTGGACACCATGATGCATGAAATTGAGCAGAGAAGGAATGTTAATGCTTTTAATTCTTATCATGTGATTTGTGACTTGTGTGGAGATTATCATGCTACTAACACATGTATGCAAGCACAAAATGTGGATTATTATGATGAATTAGATCATTACAATCCCTGTTTTGATCGATATAGTGCTAATGCTTATGGTTGGGATAATCAATGTGTATATAGTGATTCTCCATATTCTTATGATTACCAACCTGAAAGTTTCCAATATGAATCAAAACCATCTTAGGAGTTGGCAATTGAAATGGTAGCTAATGATTCTAAGCCATCTTGGGAGTTAGCTTTAGAAAAATTAGCTAATGCAACTTCCGACCGTTTTGATAGGGTTGAAGAAAGAATAGATGAACTGACTTCTCACTTTAGTAGAATACAAGAGAAATTGCATGCATTGTGTGAAGTTATTTCTTCTAATGATATGAAAGATGACCCTAGCATGAATGGTAGGAATGTTGTATGTGAAAATGGATTATATTTGGATGAAAATGATGAATTTCAATTGTGTTTTAATGAGCAAATATCCATTTCACATGATAATATCTTTGGAACTAACTTTGAGCCTCAAGAGGTGAGTTTTAATGACTCATTTTTCACCCCTCTTGAGGAGTGCATTGAAAGTATAGGTTCTAAGGGTATTGCTGCCCAGGATACTCTCATGACATTTCCGTTGGTAAGTTCTCAAGTGGTGCATATTCAAGGTAATATTTATGAAACACTTGGGATAGGTAAGTCAATTCCATTTCTCCTATCATTAGATCATGCGACTTTTGCTATAAATTCACCATTTAATGATCCACCACGACCAAAAATGGTGGATTATTCTTTAACTAAGCCTCCTTGAAAAATGAGGTGAAATAGTCAAGCTATTGACTTTAAAGAAGCGCTTATTGGGAGGCAACCCAATGTTTGTTTAAGTTTATGTTATTTTGGGGTGATTTTATGTTTAAAGTATATGTTTGAGTTATTTTGTTATTTTTCATTTGTAGGTATTGGAAATGGAAGCAAAAGTGACCAAATGAGGTGAAAAAGGCGAAATTTGATCAAGGAACTCAAACCCTCAATTTGAGTAATTGTTGTTTTTGATTTGTTAGAAGGGGTTAAAATGCATATTTTGATCATTTTACATGTGCATGCATTGAGAATTTTAGCAAACAAATGATCTATGATGCATTTTGAGTGATTGGGGTACAAATGGTAATTTTTCAAAATTGGCTTTCTGCAAAAAATTTCGCAGAAGAAAACGCACTTGGGCTGAAAACGCGCCTTAGAATCGCGTTTTCCATAATCGCGTTTTAAATTCTGCGCCTATACTGAATAAAACGCGACTTAAAAACGTGACAGAAAGTCGCGTTTTCTACAAAGTCGCGTTTTCCAGCCTGTTCAGAAACCAAAAACGCGACTTCAAATACGCGGCTCAAAGTCGCGTTTTTAAGCATAGTCGCGTTTTCGATCCTGCAAGATATGTGAAGAAACGCGACTTCAT